TGATCTGTCAAATACTAATGCATGAAAATCCTAACCTCAAAAAAATCGTTAGAACAAAAAATCGTCAAAATTGCGCTTACGACAATCTTTTAACCATGCGACGATTTTAAAATTTCGATATATCGATCGATAGTGGTTCTGGGTAGTATCGGAAATTGTCGGTAGTGTAATCTATCGATAGTTTTCCAACTCTATCCCCGAGGAATACTAGGTGCGTTCGCGTAGCTGTTAATTGTTCAAGTTTAACCAAAACTTACAGGTTTTTGCGTTCGCGTACGCAAAAAACTTGCAAAGTAGGGGAAATTGAGAGAGCAAAGTGACATTTCATTTTGAGGGGAAGCTGTTAGTTTCTGTTGGAAAAATTTTTGCCAACAGCAATTTGCCAACAGGGAAACAGCTGATCAAAAACAGCTGGTTGGCATTTACGCAAATCATAAAATTGAATTTGATGGTTTGGAAGATAAAAATTACAAAATGCGACTAATTAAACTTGTAAGAAATAAGTAGTTATTTGTTTAATCAATAAACTGTGTCAGTATAACACTTTGCGACGACTTTTCGTACGTTTTAAATTTTACACTTTTGTATGTAAACAAAAATTATATCAGCTGTTCGTCTAACTTGCAAGTTTCTGCAAATTTTCTGTTCGCGTACTATTTTGGATATTTCTCTCTTGTGAGAGAACAGATGACATTTCGCCGGAATTTGGCAGTTGGTTGGTTTCTGCTGGAGATTTTAAACGAACGCACCTACTTTTCCAAGGCGTATTCAACAATACAATTAAATACACCTTGACTTTTGGGTTGTGTGCAGCGTTTTCGTTTTGCGCGCACGGCAACACTTACTGCGAAGAATTTCGTCTCATGATTAGAAAAATATTTTGAGGATAATAAATTATACAGAGACCCAAAATAATTATCATTCTAATATTTGAGATCAAAAACGTCGCCTTGTTTTAAGAGAAATTTTTTTTTTTGTATAATAATTATTCACGGAAAGTATCTTTTCTCGTCTCGCGGGACGATTATTTTCAGATAGAAATTATTCACGTCTATCATAATAATTTTATGGGTTTCGTCTCTCGGGACGTTTATTTCAAGACGAAAATTATTTACGTCT